TTCCGTTGCGGAGCACAGGCTCCGGACGTGCAGGCTCAGCGGCCGTGGCTCACAGGCCCAGCCGCTCCGCGGCATGTGGGATCCTCCCAGACCCGGGCACGAACCCGTGTCCCCTGCATCGGCAGGCGGACTCCCAACCACTGCGCCACCAGGGAAGCCCAAATGTGGGTATTTTTAGTTCTGCTGCTGAGTCGTCCATTCATCCTTACCCTGTGACAGTGCCCTTAGGTTTCCTTTGTAGAATCACTCTTGCCTACTCCTAATCCACGTGGACTAAGGTGGGTGGAGGGAGTTGGCCCCATTCGTGGGCTCCCAGGAGATTCCATCTTCCTGGACATAGTGATTGGCTCTGATTGGGTCACCTAGCCATGAGCCAGAGAGAATCAATGGAACTCCTCCTGGAAATGCTAGGAGAATGACAGATACTCTTTCCATCTAGACTTCAACCTGAAAGGGTGTGAAGCTGAGTTTCTAGAGCCTTTGTCTCCATGAGAAAGAGCCTGAGAATAAATTTATCGTAAAGGAAATGGAGCCTGACAATATCATTGGAACACCTGGATCCAGCCAAGCCTGAAGCCACCGTGAGTCCAAAATTTCCTTTTTTGTTTAAATCATTCTGGATAGATTCTTAACTGGCACAGCTGGGCAGACCACCCTGAGGGCTGTGTTCATTATTGGGCTTCAACAGTCCAGAAGACAGTTGATCGCAATAGTCCTAAGACTCAAAACCCCATCATGTGAGCAACAACTGAGAGGGGTGGGCAGGTTCAATCTGCAAGAAAACAGTTACCTTCGGATATGTGGACAGTGGTTGCTCCTGTAGCCGTGCAACAAATCACCCAAAACTGCAGTTTAAACAACAACCAGTTTATTGTCGCTCCTGGTTTTGTGGGTCAAGAATTTGAGAAGCACTCATTTGGGTGATTCTTTTGTTTCATGTATCACTGTCTGAGGTCACTTGGTGGCATTCAGTTGGTGGATGGGCTGGTCTGGAGGATCTAAGACAGCTTCACTCACGTGTCTGGCACCCTAGCAGGCGTGGCTGGAGGGCTGAGCTCAGCTGGAACTAAAGACCAGAGCTCCCTCCTGTGGCCTCTTCAGCATGGTGGCCTCAGGGCAATTAGATTCCTTACATTTGACTCAGGGCGCCAAGGGTGAGAGTCCCAAGAGACAGGAATGGTAGCTGTGTCTCTTAAGCCCTGGGCCCTGAAACTAGCACAGGTCACTTTCACCACTTTTGATTGGTCAAGAAGCCACAGAGCCTGCCCAGATTCGAGGGGAAAGGATGAAGACCCCAGGTCTTGATGGAAGGAGTCAACATGTTTGCAATTATCTCTCATCTGCCATAGTAGTCATGGGGCATAATATTGAGCACGTACTATGCATCAGGACATTCTGAGTTTACTTCGCTTAGACCTTGGCACAGTCCTACAAGGCAGATGCTGTTAGTATCTCAGTTTTACAGATGAGGCACTGAAGAGCTACATGGCCTGTTCAGAGTCACACAGCTGTAAGCGGCAGTGTGGGAATTTGAACCCAGGACTTTCTGATGCCACACCTACATGTTTATGCCATGCTGAAAAGAAGAGAATAGACTTGTGCTCTGTGGTCCCAAGGGCAGTAGTACCAGGAATAAAGATTCTGCTCTGGGTGGGAAAGGCCTTTCTTGCAATTAGAGCTGGTGACGACTGGAAGGGACCGCCTTGGGAGATAGTTTCCTGTCACCATGGCAATAGGAACAGAGGCTGCTGGATTCTGGCATTAGATGGTGGGATAGAAAGAATAGATATATTTATTGTGAGAAGATCATCAACATCGTGGAGGTGATGAAC